CTTGTACCTCCCAACCCCCATCCCCTCCCCATGCCCCCCGTCCCCCCAGCCCTGTCTCCACAAAATCCCTCGTTCCGCTCTCCCCCGTGCCCTCCGTGCCCCCCCGTGCCCCCCTCTACCCCCTCATGCCCCCCGTGCCCCCCCGTACCCCTCTGCCCCCCTGTGCCCCCCCGTGCCCCCCGTGCCCACCGCTGCTGGAAGCGCTCGTTGATGGACACCCAGACGTCGAAGTAGATGCGGGGCTGGCTCACGTTGTACCGGGGCAGGAGGCGGCTCAGGCACGACGAGTATTGTTTGAGCATGTCCGCGTGGTCCCGCCAGCGCCGGCTCTGCGTGAACACCTGCGGGACGGCACCGGGGCTGCGGGCACCGGGGGGCACCCGGAGGGACTGGGGGGGGACCGGGGGGGACCGGGGAGACACCGGGGAGACTGGGGGCACTGGGAGGGGACTGGGGCAGTGAGGGCTGGGGGCACTGGGGGATTGGAGAACAAGGGGTGGGAGCAATGAGGGACTCAGGGGAAAAAGGGGGGGGTAAGAATAAAGGATTGGGTGGAATGGGGGATGAGAGAGAAATGAGGGGGGGATGAGGCATGAGGGGGAATGGGGGATGGGGGGAATGAGGGATGGGGGAATATGGGATGGGGGGAATGGGGGATGGGGGGATGGGGGAAACTGAGGCACAAGGAGAGAAAGGAGAGGTGGGGAAACTTGAGACACGGGGGGAGGAAAGGAAGGACGGGGGAACTGAGGCACAAGTGGGGTGTCCTGTGGGGGTCCTCGTGTGGGGGGGGGGTAATGGGAGAATGTGGGGGAAGTGGAGGCACAGGGGGAAAATGAGGGATGGGGGCAACTGAGGCACAGAGGGAAAATCAGGCACTGGGGAAACTGAGGTTTGGGGGGGTCCCGTGGGAAGGTACCTGTGCTTGGATGGGGGAAACTGAGGCATGGGGGGGGGTTGGCTTAAAACATTAAGTTTATGTGGACTGATCAAAGCTGGGAACACCCTGTCCTTCCCCCCCCCTGTCCTGGGGCACCCCTCACCCCTGGTCCCAGGCAGCCCCCTGGGTGGGGGGGTCACTCACCCCTGGTTTCAGGTAGCCCACCTCCCCGGTGAGCCCGTCCCTGTAGGTGATCTTGACGTGCTGGTGGAAGCGGGAGTGGACCATCATGTCCCAGGAGTAGCCATAGAGCCCGTTGGTCCAGTTGTTGTAGCCCTGGGGGGGCACAGGGGGTGGGTCACAGGACATGGGGGTGGGTCACAGCAGAGCACAGGGGTCTCCACCCCGGGGGGGACAAGGAGGGACCCCCATATCTCCCCTCCTGCCTCCCCTGGCAATGGCCTCACCCTGTGCCCCCCATCTCACCCCCTGCCCCTCAGCCCTGCCCCTGTGCCCCCCCAGCAGCCCCCCTTTACCACCGTGCCCCCCAAATGCCCTGTTCCAGAGTCCCCCAGCCCTAAGGGCCCTTTCACCCTTTCTGAGTCCCCCAAAACGCCCCCACATCCCCCAAAATGGCCCCACACCCCCCAAAAGCCCGTGTTCCCCCAAAGTGCCCCCACATCCTCAAAAAGAGACACCATGTCCTGAAAAACCTCCCATGTCCCAAAATTAACTTCACACCCCCAAAATACCCCCATATACCCAAAAATGTCCTAGAAGCACCCCCACATCCCCCAAATGAACAGCCCCCGTGTCCCCAAAATGCCCCTGTATCCCCCAAAATACCCATGTCCCCCAAAATGACACCCCACATCCCCCCAAAATGCTCCCACAGGTCCCAAAATGTCCCTCATGCCCCGCAAAATACCCCTCATATGCCCAAAAATACCTCCATGTCCTCAAAAATGCCCTCCCACACCCGAAAATACCCGCCACGTCCTCAAAAACACCCCGATCCCCCCCAAAATGCCACTCACACCCCCCTCAAATGTCCTCTACATGCCCCAAAATGCCACCCACGCCCCCAAAAACACATCCACGTCCCCCAAAACATCCCTCACATCCCCAAAAACGCCCCACGCATCCCTGAACCCCGTCCCTGTGTCCCCCAAACCCCTCCTCATGTCCCCCAAACCCCTCCTCATGTCCCCCAAACCCCTCCCCCGTGTCCCCACCCCCTCCCCGTGCCCCCCCTGTGCCCACCGGGGTGATGAAGTGGGAGTAGGGCAGGAAGAGCTGCTCCAGCACGTAGAGGATGGTGAAGGCTGCAGCCAAGTGCTGGCGAGGCCGAAGGCCCCCCCCGCGCCCCCCGGCCCCCGTAGTGGCAGTCGGGGCTGGGCTGGGGGGGCTTCGTGCTGGGCAGGACCCCCCTGAGCCACAGGGGGCACCGGGCCACGAGCCCCCGCGGCCACTCGGGCCGGCAGAACAGGCCGTTGGTGGCCAGCATGGTGTAGGAGAACATCCCTGGGGACAGGGGGGACATTTAGGGACCTCCTGCACCCCGGGGGGCACCGAGGGACCCTCCTGCACCTTGAGGGAGCTGTGGGGACAGAGGGGGGACGGGGTGCCCCTGTCGGGAACAGGGCAGAACTCGAGGGGGTTCCTGCCCAGGGTCAGAGCGCTCTGGGCACGTCTGGGTGCCAGGATGGGGCTGATTTGGGGGATGTCTGGGTGCCAGGATGGGGCTGATTTAGGGGATGTCCAGGTGCCCCTACCACGGCTGGAGGGGATTTGGGGGCTGGTGGGGGGGAATTTTGCCCTGGCTGGGGGTGGTTTAAGGGGTGTTTGGGTGCCCCTGCCATGGCTGGGGGGGATTTACAGGGGTTTGGGGAGTGTCCCTGCCCAGGCTGCGGGTGTTTTGGGGGGGTCCCTGCCCTAGCTGAGGGTGCTTAAGGAGGGTGATAGGGTGACTGGAAGGCCCTACCCAGCGGGTGGCCCTGCCCAGGTTGGGGGTGTTTTGGGGGTGCCCAGGGAGGGTCCTTGGCCCAGGTTAGGGGTGCTCTGTGGGATGGGAAGGTGCTCCTGCCCAGGCTCAGGGTGTTTTGGGGGCTGGAGGGTGCCCCTGCCCTGGCTGGGGGTGCTTGGGGGGGTACTGGGGGTGCGGGGGGGGTACTGGGGGTGCCATGCCCCCCCTCACCAATGCTGAAGAGCTGGGAGTTCATGCAGTGGAAGTAGGTGACGAAGACGAGGGCGAGGGGCCGCGTGGCATCGAAGAAGAGCAGGAAACCCGCAGAGAGGTCGAGCACCAGCCCCCCCCCCGTGCACCACCAGCAGGCTGGTCAGCTCCTCCGACAGCACCAGCCTGGCCACAGAGCCTTCCTCAGCATCAGCCTCACCCTGACACCCTCCTCAGCCTCACCCCAGCACCCCGTCACCCTCCTCATCCTCCCTTTCCTCACTCCGACACCCTCCTCATCCTCCGACACCCTCATCCTCACCCCGCCTGCCACCCCCTCTCATCCTCACCCCATTACCTTCCTCTTCCTCACCCCATTGCCTCCCTCACCTTCCTCATCCTGTCCCTGTCCCACTTCTCATCCTCAGCCCAGACCCATCACCCCATCGCCTTCCTCATCCCTTCCTCATCTTCACTCTGACCCCGTTGCCCATCCTCATCCCCGTCCCCCTCCTCATCCTCACCCTTAACCCATCCCTCTGACACTCTCATCTTCACCCCACCCCCCCTCCTCCTTCTCACCCCACCTGTCGCACCCTCCTCATCCTCACCCCGAACCCCTCACCTCCAATGCATCCCCACTGCCCCCCTTGTCACCCTCCTCATCCTCACCCCGACCCCATCAACTCCCTTCCCACTCCTCACCCCCAGCCTCCTCCATCCCTGCCCCCTGCCCACCCCCTGTGCCCCCCCAGACCTGAAGGGGGAGAAGAGCCAGTGCCGGGCGAGGGAGCCCATGGAGAAGCCCCCGACCCAGTCCCCGTCCAGCTTCTTCAGCCCCGCGATGAAGTACACGATGAACACCTGGGGGGCACGAAGGCAGGGGGAGTCAGGGGGTTCAGGGGGTCCCAGAGGGGGTCCCGGGGGGGCTCTGGGGGTTCCTGGGGCAGGGGCACCCACCTGGGCACGCAGCAGGGCGTAGTTCCACAGCGGGACGTGGGCGTTGCGCTTCCGGGGACGGAACAGCCCGTCCACGGACCTGGGGGGACACCGGGGACAGAGGGGGGACCAGGTCACTGTCACCCCACTGCCAGAGCTGTGGGAACACGTGCCACCACCCCACAGGGACAGAGAGCCACAGGGACACCCCCTGGGGACCCTGGTGCCAAAGGAGACCCCGGGTCCTGTGCCACCCACTGGGGACACCATGGCCTGAGCCACCCCCGGGGATCCCAGGGTCACTGGGGACCCCAGGACCTGTGTGACCCCCTGGGGGACCCTGTGCCACAGGGGATTTCAGGACCTGTGTCACCCCTGGGTACTCAGTGCCACGAGGGACCCCGCTGCCACAGGGGACCCCATGACCTGTGCCACCTGCTTAGGGACACCAAAACCATGGGGGACCCCAGAACCTGTGCCACCCCATGGGGACACCCCCTGAGCACACAGCACCACAGGGACCCCGCTGCCATGGGGCACTTCGGGGTCTGGGCCACCCCGTTGGGGCCCTGGTGCCACAGGGGACCTCAGAACCTCTGGGGGCCACCCCATGGGGACCCCAGGCCCTGTGTCACCTGGGACCACCCACCCTGCTGCCTCACAGAGCCCCTGACCCGGGATCCCCAGTGCCCCCCCGTCCCCCCGGGTGCCCACCCATAGCGGTCTGCGCCCAGCAGTGCCAGCTGGAAGCCCAGCAGCCCGTAGAGGTAGGAGTGGTTGTTCCAGGAGGTTTTGTCCAGCAGGAACAGGTACCAGTACGGGCACAGGAAGGCGACGCAGCTCAGCCGGTAGCAGCACCCCAACATGATGCCCAGCGCCCCTGCAGGCACGGGACCCTCAGTGTGTCCCCTGGCCCCTCCCACTGCCACCCCTGCCCTGTCCCCAGCCCTCCTCCCAGTCCAGTGCCAGACCCCAACACGATGCCCAGTGCCCTGTGGGCACCCCACATTCTGTGTCACCCTGTGTCCCCCTGGGAACCCTCTTGGTGCCACCCCCTCTGCCTGTCCCCAGACTTCCCAAGCTCCTCTCCCAGTCCATCACAGTCACAGTGCCCATTCCCACCCCAGTGCCAGTCCCCACCATGGTTTCTGTCCCCATCCCACCCTCGTTTCTGTCCCAGTGCCATCCCAGTGCCCCTCTCCCTGCCTTGGTCCCCACACTGTCCCAGCACCACCCCCCCCCCTGTCCCCTTCCGTGTCCCCCCCCCCCCCTAGCTTCCCTCCCAGTCCATCCCAGTGCCCATTCCCACCCCAGTGCCCGTCCCCACTGTGGCTCCTGTCCCCATTCTACCCTCGTTTCTGCCCAGTACCAGCCCATTTGTCCCCGTGTCCCCATCTTCCCCCAATTCCTCTCCCAGTCCATCCCAGTGCCCATTCCCACCCCAGTGCCCGTCCCCCTCCCACCCCCATTTCTGCCCCTGTGCCATCCTCTGCCTGTCCCCCCCCGCCCGGTGCCCTCCCCGTCCCTCCCAGCCCGTACCCAGGAACATGACGGTGTAGAGCAGGTACATCCAGTCGAGGGGCAGGGGCTGCAGGAAGGGCAGGAGGGGAAAGCGACAAACCTCGAGCCCGTCCAGGTACCGCTGGTCCAGGTGGCCCAGCCCCCGCTCCTGCGGCACGTCCAGCGCCATCAGCAGCCCTGGGGAACGGGGGGGGTCAGTGACCCCCGTCCGGGCGGGCACTGACCCCCCTCCAGCCCCAAACCGCTGCCCAACCTTTGCTCCGGTGCTGACACGTTACTGCCCGGCCGCCTCCATCCCCCTCGGAGAGCAGGGACCCCCCCGGATCCCAGCTATGCCTCTCCCAAAGCCCCTGAGCCCCCCCGGGCCCGGTCTCTCTGTCCCCCAGAGTCCCCCCGGAGCCCTCCCGGAGCGCCCCCCGTTCCTCCCAGCCTCCGTTTTCCGTGTCTTTCCCGGAGCCCCTCCAGCCCGCGAAGCCACTGTGGACCCCACAGCCCCGTTTCCCCGTCCCCCCGGTTATTCCCCCGAAACTCCCCCCGGCCTTCCCCCGGCCCCCCCAGTCCCGGTCCCCCCGGAGCCCCCCGGTGCCCCCCAGCCCCGCTCTCCCCGTCCCCTCAGCGGCCCCCCGAGTTCCAGTGCCCCCGGGGGCCACCCGGAGCCCCCCCGCTCCTCCCAGCCCCGGAGCTCTCTCCGGGTGCCCCGCAGCCCCGGTACCCCCGGAGCGCCTCTGGTGTTCCCCCAGCCCCGGAGACCCCCCGTCCCCCCGGTCCCCGCTGACCGAAGGCGGCGCGGAAGGCTCCGAGCGCCGCGGGGTCCTGCGGCCGGTGCATCAGCCGGACGAAGCGGTGCCACCGCGTCAGGTCCCGCAGCTCGAACCCGAGCAGCCGCCGCGCCAGCCCGGGGCCGGTCCCGGGTTTCCCGGAGGGGCCGGGGGGACCCGGGGGTGGCCCCGCCGCCGCCTCCCCCCGCTCCGGCCGCCTCCGCCGCGCCGGGCCTGCCGGGGGTCACAGGTCAGGGGCCGCAGGGCGGGGATCCCAGCCCAGGGGTCTCTTCCCGGGGGTCCCGCGCCCCCGCCCCGTTCCCGGTTCCCCGCTCCCCGTTCCCGGTTCCCCGCTCCCCGTTCC